ACAACAACCTAACTAATCTCACATAAAAAAAATGTGTGCTCTGTTATTTTACTGCCATGGAAAAAAATCTTAAGACGAACTGCATCTCTTGGTTCCAGATCTTTACGGCTGGGAAATCTAAAAGCCAATACATGTTTTTTTAAAACCACCCAAATTCCCTCCGTATTCCATTAAGGAAGAGGTTCCACGCAAACAAACTTCAATAAAGCGAATAAATTGCTTTGTGAAACAGACTCCCAGTAGGATGTTTCACCGATCAGTACAATCTTAACCTGTTCGAGTCTAGAGTCATACGTTATCTTCCCTCCTATCTATATAAACTATCCTTTAACTTAATCTTCTACCTCGAGTGGAATATTTGTATGTAATCAGGGTCAACCTTACAACAAAAAAAAAAAAAAAAAAAAAAAAAAACAAAAAAAAAAAACATAAGTTTATGATGAAGAAGGTGGATAAACACCCAGCAAGATATAAAAGATGATGTTTTCAATTAAACTAGATTGGTCAACATTTTGAAGTGAAGAAAGAACTTTTCGGTCATGGGGCGGATGATGATAATGATAATGTTAATAATGATGATTATAATGATAATGATGATGATAATGATGATGATGATAATAATAATGATGATTATGATAATAATGATAATGATGATGATAATAATAATGATGATGATAATGATGATGATAATGATGATGATAATGATAATGATGATGATAATAATGATGATAATAATAATGATGATGATGATGATAATAATGATGATTATGATAATAATGATAATGATGATGATGATAATAATGATAATGATGATGATAATAATGATGATAATAATGATAATGATGATGATAATGATAATGATGATGATAATAATGATAATGATGATGATGATAATGATAATGATGATGATAATAATGATGATTAATGATGATGATGATGATGATGATAATAATGATAATTATAATAATAATGATAATAATGATAATAATAATGATAATAATGATAATAATAATAATAATAATGATAATGATGATGATGATAATGATAATAATGATAATAATAAGATGATAATGATAATAATAATGAAATAATAATAATAATGATAATAATGATAATAATGATGATAATAATGATTATGATAATGATAATGATGATGATAATGATGATGATAATAATAATGATAATGATGATGATGATGATAATGATTGTATATTTTTTTGAAAAGTATTGTATCCTTTATGATATACGACATTGATTTTTCTTCTACAGAAGGTAATGACGGAAAAGTGAGAAGAAAAACTAAAAATTAAAGAAGAAGACAGAATGCATGATCATCATGAAGAGGATGAGCCCGAAATGCGATTTTCAGGTCGGGAACACTAGAATCAAGCAGAAGCGGAAATATCTGGGAAGCGTCTTGAGAGAAGACGGTAAGTTCGACACTGAGAATCCGTAGACGTATTGGGATAGCCCAGGATGCATTCCAAAAGCTAGGCAGAGTATTGCGAGACAGGAGGAATTCATTGGTAGAAGAAAAGAAAACTCAGCTGTTATGTGACTTTTTGTCCTTCTTTACGGAAGCGAATGTTGGACAATTTCCTCAAAGATGAAGAAGAGACTCAAGGCGACAGAGATGTGATTCTACAGAAGGATGCTAAGCATATCATGGACCGAGCGTGTGAGCAACGATGAGGTTTTGAAGAGGATGCAAACTTATAAACATCGGGAAGAGTTTTTTTTTTGAAGTTTCTGGGACACATAATGAGGAAATAAGGCATGGAGAATCTGATAACTCACACGTTCGAATAAGAATCTTTATAATCGAGACAGGAGGTTTTGTTTTGTTGCAAAGAAACCATCCTGTCTCGCTATACTGAGCTGTTACGTGACATGAGACCTTCTTTACGGCAACGAATGTTGGACGATTTCCTCAGAGATGATGAAAAGACTCGAGGCGACGGAGATGTAGTTCTACAGAAGGATGCTAAGCATATCATGGACCGAGCGTGTGACCAACGATGGGGTTGCAAACAAGGTGAAGGCTTATACTTAACATCGGAAAGAGGCAGCTGAAGTTTCTGGGTCACATAACGAGGAAAGAGGGTCTGGAGACTTTGATAGCCATGGGTCGAGTAGAGGGGAGGAGAGACAAGGGAAAGCAGCACGTGACATACCTGGTGAGTTTAGGCTGTCGGATGACAGAACGTGGTCTGGGGAAGGAAGCAGAAGAAAGGAACTTGTTGAGAGCTGTAAGGGATAGAGGGAGGTGGAGAGCCATGATCGCCTACGTCCTGAAAGGACATGGCATATAAAAAGAAAGAAGTTAATTATAGACTGTTAAAGCATTATTCTTAATGCAAGGTGTTAATTTGCTGCTAATAGCTGCTATATCATAAATATGATTAAAGTAATGACCATTAACTGGTGAATGGCCGTTAAGTAAAATTTAGTAGTATAAAGTCACCACAACTATAGTTCAAATACTTCCCGCCAAATATAAAGAAAGCTTAATATAGTGAAAGGTGTTAAGAGTTTATTTTTTTTTTTAATATTTTTTGTGATAATATCCATTAGAGGTCGATACATTTAATGTAATAGATTTATTTATAGTTAAGGTTCGATTTGTATGTTTATTTAGGTTGGACAAGATTTTGAAGGATTTGAAACCCAATTTAAAAATAAAAAGGGAAATTGTTAGAAATGTAAATAGAAGATATGTCCATTTAAATATATTTTGTTATATATATATTATATAACCGGAAATGCCATTTAAATAAATGATAAATATTTAAAAATTACAAAAAACAAAGATATTAAATTTATGCTTAAAATATTCTATGAAAATAAAAAATGTTTGTGGCCGATGGTTAAGGCACGGAAAGGATTATGACAATTATATGACGGATGGAATCGAATAATATCGAAAAGAAAAATATTAAATATAAAAATTTGTCGACATTCAGGCCGGTAAATTTATTTAATACTGTTTATCATAAACAGAGCATTTGCTTAAATACTTGTATCTATAAAATAACAACGTTTAAACATAAAAAAAATGTAAATAAAATTTAATAAATAAATTGTCGGACCTCGTCCATTTCTTAACATATGACGTCATTTGTTTACATTCGATACGCCAGAGCAGTTATGAATGTACGAGATTCATGGAAGATTGTAGTTTATAACAAAATTCGACCTTGTCTTATAAGGTTCATGGTGGCCGAGTGGGTAAGGCACGTCAGCGTATATGACGGTTCCGTATAGGATGCAGGTTCGAATCCTGTCAATGAACAAATATTTTCTATGAAAATTTCTCGGACATTCAGGCCGGTAAATGTTATTTAATACTGTTTATCATAAACAGAGCATTTGCTTAAATACTTGTATCTATAAAATAACAACGTTAAACATAAAAATGTCTTTAATAAATAAATTACATTATCTAAACTCCTCCTTTATACAGATAATCAATTCTAAGAAAACTATTTTAAAAAGAAAAAAAACAAGTTCACGAATAAACATTACAGGGTACTATGGGTAAATTGTCGCCATATTATACTTTTAACTTCGCGCATGCGCTTTGTGTCTTATTTTTATTGTGTCGATTGCACAGTATAATAGGATCAGTTGGGCACCGTCTCTGAGAAAAAGAGCATCATGAGACAATTCACTCCGTTAGAAATTTGGAAACGTCATGCTGTACTGCTTGGCATTCGCACCGGAAGCTCGAATACGAATATTTTTGTGTGTTTGGGTGTCAATTTGTGGACAATGCAGACGATTCGGTAAGAGTTGAATGTGTCTAATGGTGATTACAAAGTACGGAAGATCGGAAAACTCACTCTGATCCTTCGGAAAAGAAAAAAAAGAAACTCCCGAATTTGTTGGTGAGAGCCTTAGACTCAACACGGAGGGTTACATCAAATGCCCGGAGAAAGTAGCGACGCGCTGGGTCAACAGGATGGTTGCTGACAGACCCTATGTCTGGCAACAGGATTCTGCACTATACAACACAAGCAGGAGAATACAGTCATGACTGTCAGACAATTTCTAAGACCACAACACCCATTACAACCTGGCCACCTAACTCTCCAGATTGCAACCCACTTGATTATTCTGTGTGGGGCGCAGTTGAGCCAGAGACCAACTAAACTCTTTGTAACACCATAGATGAACTGAAAGCGAGGACTATGGCAGCATTTACCAACTTAAACAAGGAGACCGTCCAGGAGTGTTGCAGGATATTCTGGAGGCCGTGCTGGACGCCAATGGTAATTTTACTGAATAAAATTCTTCTTTAGTGTTTCAAGATATTTTTGTGCAATTTTGGCAACTATATCTGTTAAAATGAAATGTCAGGGTTATTTTCATTTTTGCGTAATTCAGACGGCAATTTATCGATCGCACTCTGTAGGTGAACGTGAAAAAAAATTCAATGATAGCTTTTATTTAAGTTAGTGGATGTAGTATCCATAAACAGGAGATGTATTAGGCAAGAGTAATATATAAGCAAGTGTGCGGATAGCAACGCTGAAAGGACGACCGGCGAGCGGAGTTCAAATTCCAGCAGCGATTTTGGCATTCACTTTCGCACTAACGCCCTTGGAAAAGGTATGAATACATCTTTTTTCCCCTCCCCGGCTATGGGTTTAATATAAAGGTAGACATCGTTCTCCAGTCTCGGATTTCAATCAATGAAAGTGGATTAAAAAGTATAATGCCAAACTTGGAGAAGATAAAAAAAAAATACAAAAAAAACCGAATGTGAAAGAGCCATGATCCCCTTGAAGGAACGTGATGCAGGGATACAAAAAAAAAAGCAGTTATCTCCCTTCGGTGTAGAAGAAGTAAAATGACGGTCGTCGCTTAGTGACGTCACTCCATACAGTGACGAAAGCGGTAGTCCTTCATTCGGTTCACAGGAGTCTAACTGAGCGTTTGCTTGTTATTGAATATACTGAAGACACACACACACACACACACACACGGACGCGCGGTTTACGGCCACTTCCCTTTGAAACACCGGTTCCCGTAGGACCACCGAAGTTAAGCAACGTCGAGCCTGATCAGTACCTCGACAGGTAACCACTTGGGAATACCAGGGGCTGTAAGCTTGGATGTGCGGGTGGTGTAATAGATAATGGCTCGAAATTGTTAATCAGAGAACCGAGATCCAATTCCATCTGGGTTCGTTATATTCAATTAATCTCAAATAACCGTTGAACTCGCTATTTACATTACAATTGTCCTTATCCCTGTTGTTCTTATCACAACGTTTCGGCTGTTGTACCCGCTTGCTTTCATCAGGTTTATGTTGGTCCGGGAAAACGACAGGGAAATCCGAACTGAACACTTTATTTAATCTACAGGGTTCGATTGTTCTTGTTATACTGTCCATGTCTAGCGATATCTCACCTAGTTCTTATTTGTCACTTATTAGTTTCTGGGTTCGTTGTATTCATTTACGCGCAAATATCATTGAGAAAAGTTATGAATCCAACTCTTCTCCTCGCAGATATGGGTTAATTAGTAAGACTGTGAATTTTTAAAAGGAAAACACATTTATTATACAATTACGAAAAGGTACAAATACAAAGATTTCCCCAAAAATTCCATTTGTGCGCCTATATAACAATTTCAGATAGAAAGGAATACCATCGAAAAATGAAAAAAAGTTTGGGAAAAGAAAAGAATTTTGAAAATGACAAAAAGAGAAAAAAAATCAAGAAAACAGTATAAAAAAATGTGAAACTACCTTTGAAAAAAAAACAACCTATTTTTACTTGACCCACGAGCGTCTCTGAGGCGTAATTTTTGAAAAGTCAGTTTAAATTCGGAGAGGTCGTGCTTGGGAAAATTTCTTAAAATTCTTTTCCTTCTTGGTTGTCCAACCACGGGAGAATTTCAACTTTAACTTCAAAATTATTTAGTCTCTCTGCAGCTGGCCGGTAACTAGTGCCTTCTTTGATAATCTCTTCTTGATGCCTTCTGCAGGATGTTGACATATCTTGACCCGTTGCTGTCAAAATGTCTTCTCTTTGTATCTACTGCCTTACTTTCACTTGACCCACGAGCATCTCTGAGACGTAATTTTTGAAAAGTCAGTTTAAATTCGCAGAGAGCTCTATTTATTCAGAAAATTAGGCTCACAAAAGCCCCAATATTCGGGATGTTACTAGAGCTTGAACCGCAGTCTCTCATTGGTCAGTATATACGAAAAAATAATTTTCCCTAAGCTGGAAAGAGATCTTTTACAAATTTGACAGGTTTCAACCGCTGAGCCGAAAAGCAATTTTTAACACAAACCGTCTGGTCTTCGTAAAATACACTTCTCTTAAAAGAACTAGTATTAAAAAAAGAAAGAAAAAACAACCTAGACGATTAAATATTTATACAAGGCTAGCATTTTTAAAATAGTGTCAGTAAAATTTTTATAACCACAAATATCAAACAAAGCTGTCAGAATTTTCTTTGTTTCGTAGACGAAATGTTTTTATTTCATTTTCTGTTGTTGATTCAAATTTTATGATACAAATATTTTGCGACGATTATATTTTTATTACGCGACAGCAAAGCAGGTGATTCCAAAAGAAACGCTTACCAAAATAAATAAATAACGAATAAAATAATGAAGGAATGAACAGTTTAATAAGAATATACAATACAAAGCAAAATAAATAAATAAAATAAATGAACGCACTCATAGAAAGTTGATTTTTGTATTTTTACCAAGACATGTGAGTAATAGAATTCGTTTATTAATACAGGATATTAATACAGGTGAATATATGTATATAATAGAAGTCAAAAATGATTTAGTATTGTGTTAGGTAAGCTTTTGCTTTAATAACGGCCTTAATTCTTCGTGGCATGCAACGGACTAAATTCTTTAGAAAGTGAGTCCTGACCTTAACCCAAATTGAAAACCTTTGTCCGATAATGGATAAGTGTGCCCGTAATAGGAAAGTTAACACAAAAGATGAACTTTTTAGCGAAGTTTTTTAAAAAATGATGGAAAAATCTTGCGAAGGACGTTGACTTACTAAAGAATTTAGTCTGTAGCATGCCACGAAGAAGTAAGGCCGTTATTAAAACAAAATGTGACTCAACAAAATAGTAAATTATTTCTTGACTTTCATAATGTACATATGTACATCTGTATCAATACCCTGTATTAATAAACGAATTCTATTACTCATTGTTTTGGTAAAAATACAAAAATCAATTTTCTGTGGGTGCGACCATTTTTTGCCCACTATTTTATATATCAGCGTACTACTTGTTCATACTTAGAATATTGCTGCCACATATGATCCGGTGTTCCTGCTATATATTTAGAGCTCCATGATAAAATCCAAATAAGAATCAGCAATATTATTGGTCCTGATCTAGCGTCTCGTCTTTAGTCACTTTCCCGTCGACATAAAGTTGCCTCCCTGTGTCTATTCTATAAATTCTTTCATGATAATTGATGAGCTCTTCGCTATGGTCCCTAGACTTTTTAAATTTAGGCGGAATAATAGACTGGCGTCGGGATCTCATCAATTTACTGTTGATGGAGCCGCAAGTTCTATTGTAACAAATTCTTTTCCCATTTGTGGAACTCTCTTCCACATTCATGTTTTCCAGTCAACTTTAATCTTGCAAAAAAAAAAAAAAAGAAAAAAATGCAATGTCTATCGCTGTCTACTGTCTTCCTGATTACTCTTCTGTTGTTCTTGCTACTTAGTAATGTTCCTGTTTTCTAATTGTTATGATGTTGATTTGGGGTTAGTAGAGACAAACGCCAAATAACACGTAAAAATAAAAAAGGGTTTTAGTAGGTTGGTAAAAAGGTACAGAAATCGCCTGAGTAGTCAATAACTAGCTCAGTTAAGAACTTCTCTGTCTATCTGTCTTAGTATTTATCGATCCAACCACGAGGATTGAATATGGCACAAGGCCGATTTAATGTGGGTATCTCCGAGCCCGTAGGCTCGGCCAAAAATATTCCCTTTGAACCCGCCTAGACGGGTTCAGGCCCTGTCTACCTCCCCGGACGAAACCTTGCTCTTCGGCAAAGCTTCGTCCGGGTTCCTCTCTGCTAATGCAGAGAGTTCGACAGACGTCGCTTACAGTCAAAGACTGTATCACGACTCAGCTAGACTCGGAGGTCTTACCCTCTCGGTCTATCTGTCTAATATTTATTGTTGTGTAAAAAATACAAACAAATGTGGCACAAGGCCAAAAAGGGGGGATGGAGAATGACGGTCTTCTTCTGTCTTTAATCTAAAACTTAGCTAGTCACAGACACTGACCCAAACATGCCAACAATAATCCAATCACCAAAACATCACATTCACTCCTACCTTTCTTACTACGTCCACCATAATACCTTAGTTTCTCTATGAAGTCCTAACTAGTCTCCTTATTTACAGATATTGTTCATGGGGGGGAGGGTCATAAAATAACAACTTTTAAAATCCCCAAATGAATATTTACAACGTGAATTAATTATTTACAATAAACTAAACAAAACTGAGTTAGTAATAAAAAACCCACAAACTATGAATGTGGCAGAAATATCAGTTAACCGGACGAAATCGATGCGGAACTAAGAAAATAAGTACACATTCAAACCATCAAGCATTCACACAAACACTCACTCATTCATACACAACAACAAATACGAAAACACACACACGAAACGAAAGGCGCCCCGCATCCACCAGAAAACTGACATCACTAACCACCCTAACGAGGGAGGGATGGGAATTAAACAAAAGAAAAAAAAAATAGGGACAGAAATAAAAGGGGCCAATGAGCTTACATACCCTAGCTAAGTTAACCGGGAAAAAAAAAGGGAAACTAAAAATTCAAAAACGAAAACCTAGTCTAGCCTAATATCTGGGTGGGTTGCTTATGTTCAACCCTGTTAGGACAAAATTCTGTACCTAACCGACATCCAAATGCCACTCTAGGTCAGCCCCTTTCACTCTACACATTCGCGCAAGATTCACCCACATTTTGCCGAATTCTGATGATGGGAGCCGCCACCTTTCCGTCCTAATCTTGACTTTAAGCTGATGCTTAAAGTACAAGATCAGTTGGGAAGAGGTGAACTTCTCGCCTTCATAGAATCCCTTTTGTCGCGTCGTCCAAATCACGACTCGCATAACCCCTAGTAAGCAACAGAACACATAGTGTTCAGCCTTCGTCAATTGCGATACCACATTGCTACAAACAGAACTGGCTTCCAGGACAAAAAACTTTCCCTGCAGCATGCGAACCATGAGGCCTTCAACAAACTTGCACAACGGCACTACCGTCTTGCACTGAAAAAAGGCGTGACCCCACGAATCATCAGCCAGGTGAGTGATGCCTCATCGTTAGTGAGACATTTCAACCCAGGCGCCCAATGCCATATCGAGCAAGCCTCCTGCTTCGTAAGACCGAGCTCGTCGATCAGAGTATCTCGAACGGACCCCCTAACTAACAATCGATATAATGCCTTACGTGACAACGCTTGGGCGTCGGAGAGGCCATCCGACGTCCGCAAGAGGAGCTTCAAAGCACGACGACATTCGCGGTAGAAGGAGCACTCGAGACGAGGAGTACGACCGGCCTCCTCCTCGCACGAGTGCACACTTCTCAGGGATGGGAAATGTTTTCGGACATCTTCTTTCCAAAAGGTGCCCACCTCATCCAAACCACGACACATTCGGTCTAGAAAGGTAATGCGAAGCATATATTGACGAATCTCAATGCTAGGCATACCCAGACCGCCCTCAGAGGGATGAAGGCGACAGATCTCGCGAGATGCCATATGGGCCTTGCCTCTCCACAAGAAAGAGAACAAGGCCTTGACTAATAACATTAGTCGGGCATACGGGAGTGGAAGCACAGAAAGACGGTAGAGGAGGATCGGATAGATGTGTGAAACACATAATTCCGCCCTTCCCTTCAGGAAAAGTCTCCTCCGAGACCACAGATTACCCGCAGCCTCGGCCTGCCCTTGTACCTCCGACCAATTCATTTCCAACTGGAGATCAGGACCGAACCAGACTACGAGTATCTTGATCGGCCCATCCGTCCAGAGGAAAGGTCCGGGAAGAGGAACTCCCTTCCACGCA